TTTATACATATAAGATTAACGTATTAATGCACATAATAAATCTAACATTAAATAAGAATCTTTGCGTTTAGTACATAATAGACAGCACAGTTTCGTAAGTACGTAAAATATATCACGAGCATATCTCAATATATCACATGTGTGTCTCTGTGCCTTTGGTTTTGATGGTGTAGTGTATATGTGTTTTTCACTTTGCCTCTCCGGCTAATTTCATCTTTAACAGTGCAATGCAAATGATTTAGTATATCATAATTAGACTATATCAGAAAGAGAGAGAAAGACAGAAATAGACACGAGAGATAGACAGAAACAAAGCGACGAGCGAAAGAAGGGGAGAAAAGAAAAGATTTAACCACGAGTTATGTTTATGTATCGAACAAGATCACATTACAAAAATGAGAACAAATACAAAAAAAACGACTCAAAACAACCGCGTTCCGAAATCATGTTGGCTCCGGCTTCGGCTTCGTCTCGTGTAAACCCAAAAGCCCAGAGCATTCGAACACCATCGCCCATGAATACCTTGTCACGCGGCTGGATGTCAGAACACGTGTCCTTCGCCTCTTCAATTTCTCTATTTCTTCTCTTCTTCAGTCGTTTTTCTTCCTTTTTTCTTCTGTATCTTCTCTTATTTTGTTTTGTCTTCTTCTGCTGTCTCCTTTCTTCCTTCATTTACTTTTTTTTTCTTCTTTTTTTTCTTTGCTGTCTCCTCTCTTCCTTTATTTTTTTCTTCTACTGTCTCCTCTCTTCTTTTTATTTCTTATTTTCTTCTGTCTCCTCTCTTCCTCTATTTCTCTTCTGCTTCTTCTTTTTCTCTATTTCTTCTCTTCTTCGGTTTTCTCTCTCCCTCCGGTCCTTTATTGTCTCCTCTATTGATTCTATTTGTTTATTATTGTTTCCCCTCTTTCTCTATTTCTCATTTTCTTTGGTCTCCTTTCTTCCTAACAATTCTTTTCTTCTGTCTCTTTTCTTCTTCTATTTATTTATTCTTCTGTCTTCTCTCCTCCTCTATCTCTCTTCTGCTCCTCCTCTTATTTTGTTTCTTCTCTTCTTATGTCTCATATCTTTCTCTATTTCCTTTCTTCTGTTTCCTCTCGTTCTCTATTCTTTCTCTTCTCCTGTCTTCTCACTTCCTTTATCAGTTTATTTTCATTCTCATGTCCTGTTTTATTTCTTTTTCTATCTCATCTCTTCTTTATTTCTGCTGTCTCCGTTCTTCTTTTATTTGTTTTCTTCTGCCTCATCTTTGCCCCTATTTCTTTCCTTCTATCTCCTCTCTTCTTCTATTTATTTCCTTCTGTCTCCTCTATTCTTCTCTTTCTATTTTCCTGTCTCCTTTCTTCTTTTATTTCTTTCCTTCTGTCTCCTCTGTTCTTCTCTTTCTATTCTTCTGTCTTCTATCTTTTCTTATTTCCATTCTTCTGCCACTTCTCTTTCCCCTAATTCTTTTCTTCTGTCTCCTCTCTTCCCTATTTTGTATTATTATTATTCTATTTCTATTCTTTTGTGTCCTCTCTTCCCTTATCCATATTCTTCTGTCTCCTCTCTTCTTCTATTTCCATTTTTCTGTCTCCTCTGTTTCCCTATTTCTATCCTTCTGTCTCCTTTCTTCCCCTAGTTCTATTCTTCTATCTCCTCTCTCCCCTTATTTCTTTTATTCTGTCTCCTCTCTTCCCTTATTCATATTCTTCTGTTTCCTCTCTTCCCCTATTCCTATTCTTCTGTCTCTTCTGTTCTCCTATTTCTATCCTTCTGTCTCCTCTCTTGCCTTTTTTTCTATTCCCCTGTCATTCTCTTCCCCTATTCTATCTTCTGTCTCTCTCTTCCTCTGTTTCTATTCTTCTGTCTCCTCACTTCCTCTGTTTCTATTCTTCTGTGTCCTCTTTTTCTCTGTTTCTACCCTTCTGTCTCCTCTCTTCCCCTATTTCTATACTTCTGCCTTCTCTCTTCAATTATTTCTAATCTTCTGTCTCTTCTCTTCCCTTATTTTTATATTTCTGTCTCCTCTCTTCCCCTATTTTTATATTTCTGTCTTCTCTCTTCCCTTATTTATATTCTTCTGTCCATTTTCTTCCCTTATTACTATTCCTCTGTCTCCTCTCTTCCTCTAGTCCTGTTCTTTTTTCTCCTCTCCTCTTATTTTGTCTCCTCCCTTCTCTTGCCTCTTTTTTATTATTATTTACAGTCTTCCTTCCTTCGCGCTCAATTCTTCATGAACGCGCTCCTCGAGATGTAAAAGGAAAAGAAAATATATATATATAATATATATATATATATATATATATATATATATATATATATATATATATATATATAATATATAAATATCTGGAAAAGATCAGTGACTTTTCTCTGGCCATTAATGGATGCCGGAAGTTAATACAAAATGTAAACCTTTTATTGCTATTGACTCAACACCTTTTTTATCTGCTATTTTTATTGAATATATCTTTTCATCTGTGTGTGTTTTTGTTTTTGTTTTTGTTTTTTTTTCATCGGGATTGCTTGTTTCCCGAGAAAAAAAAAGGATATTTCATTTTCATGGTTTCAGTGAATCGATTATCAATATTCGAGTTTCATTTTCTTTTTTAGTTCTGTCCTTTTTCTTCTCATCTTTCTTCTTATTCAGTCTTCTTCCTCAGTTTATTTTTGTTTTGTGTTTGTATCCATCAAGAGTAATCTATCGGTGTGATTATGATATTCAAAGATGCGCAGTTTTATGACATACGATAGGTGTATACCCTAACTTCCGTCAGACCGGTGATTGGCTGCGCCGCACTGTCGACAGGTTATTTTCAACCAACCAGCTGCCGGATATTACTTGGTGTTCTGACTCCTATATTCGTCCTTGGCTCGGGTTTCATTCTTTGATATTAGATCATTGGTTCGCAAAGTGGGCGGTGCAGCCTCCCTGTGGGCGGTGAAAAGAGGGGGGCTCTGAGGCAAAAGGGGATTAGGAGCAGTTTGTAAATAACTTTTTTGTATACTAAATTTGAATAACAAAATATGCACTAATACACCCACCCCATTAACAATAGCTGTGAAGGCACGAGCCATGTTACTGTGACTACTGCTGAGGTATTGATTTACCCTTTCATATTTCTGACATTGCTGAAACTGCTAAATAAATCAGTTTACTAAATTAGGTTTTATTTGTGAAATACATATTTGTATCTAACCCTATTCTATATAATCTGAAGCATGCCAAAATAGAAAAAAGTGTGTTCGTATGTGCAAGACGCCACCTGGACGCCACTGGAACAGCTGATATTAAACCAAGTAGAACCTCTCTTGCAGAAGGATTCGGATGCAGGAAGGGGATCAGATTCCATTCCTTCTCGGCCCTTCTCCTGGCTTTTTAATTATAAATTTCTCTTTTCCTTATTTCTTTCATTTCACGGAAGGAATAAAAGAAGAAAAAAAAAACTTAGAAATCCATAATTCAGAATTTCGAATGCGAAAGGCATTTATATCACCGGTCTTTTTTCTAACTCTCTTTTTTTTCTTTCCTGTAACGTGGTATTCCAGATATTTATACACAGTTGACAGTTTCCAATTTAGTGCAATTTTTATGACATTCCCTTCAGCTCCGTGACAGATGGCACTGGTGTTGCATGTGGCGTTTTCGAGCCCGAGCTTTCCGCTTGTGCAGTTGGGCGGTGTCTTTGTGCTGCGGACATTTTGTGTTTGTTGTTGTTGTTGCTTTTCTTTTTGATGGTGATGTTCTTTTTCTCTGTCTATCTATCTAACTAGCTATCTTCATCTCTCTCTCTCTCTCTCTCTCTCTCTCTCTCTCTCTCTCTCTCTCTCTCTCTCTCTCTCTCTCTCTCTCCTCTCTCTCTCTCTCTCTCTCTCTACTCTCCCTCTTCTCTCCTCTTTCTCTCTCTCTCCTCTCTCTCTCTTCTCTCTCTCTCTCTCTCGTCTCTCTCTCTCTCTCTCTCTCTCTCTCTCTCTCTCTCTCTCTCTCTCTCTCTCTCTCTCTCTCTCTCTCTCTCTCTCTCTCTCTCTCTCTCTCTCTCTCTCTCTCTCTCTCTCTCTCTCTCTCTCTCTCTCTCTCTCTCTCTCTCTCTCTCTCTCTCTCTCTCTCTTCCTCTCTCTCTCTCTCTCTCTCTCTCTCTCTCTCTCTCTCTCTCTCTCTCTCTCTCTCTCTCTCTCTCTCTCTCTCTCTCTCTCTCTCTCTCTCTTTCTCTCTCTCTCTCTCTCTCTCTCTCTTCTCTCTCTCTCTCTCTTTCTCTACTATTTTATACCGTGAGTTATTTTTCACTTTGCTTTCTGTTGTTTTTCTTTCTTTCTTCTTTCTGGCTATTTTTTACCTTTTTCTTCTTTTCCTTTTTCTTTTTTACTACAACTACTTCTTCATCGTTGTCTTCTTGTTTTAGCGTATATTCTCACACTTTTTTCATCTCACTCTCCATCTTTCCTTCTATTCCTCCTGTTCTTCTCTCACTCTCTTTCTGTGTATTTCTCTACCTCTTTCTTTCGCTCTCGGTCTGTCCCTCTGTCTTTCTGTCTGTCTGTCTATATATACAAATATGTGTGTGTGTGTCTGGGCGTGTGTGCACGACATCTGCATTTATGTTACGTAATTTATTCCCTTATTTACAGTCTTCGATATACCTCTTATCAGCTGCTCATTTTCTTATTATCTCATTATCCTTAATTATCCTTTACCGCAACTGGTTAATATCCATTTACGCATTTTTTCCATGAGTTGCATTTGGGTTTACCTTCATTAAAGGATTTTGCAGTGTGCATTACTCTTTTTTATTGGCCATTAGTACAAATTGCCAATTGGTCATCATTTCCTAATGTCTATTAGAATACATTTTTTGAGCAATTTATCTCGATGTAGCTTATTAAGTGTAACACTCTTCTGCTGAGTCGGCGTGACTCAGCCCGCCCTGCCTCGCCTCTGACGCCCGTCCTTTTTCAGGAAGCAGCAGCGCGTGCGGAGCGGCGATGGTGACGTCACCGCGGACGGCAGGGAGTCGGTGCTAAACATGACGGTGCCCCTGGGAGACCCTCTGGGAGACCCAATGGGAGACCCCCTGGGCGTGGGCGCAGGGACGACCACGCTCCTCCCCTACATCGATCCCCGGAGGTCAGGGTCGAGAGCGAGCGACCCCTTCATCAGCTTCCTGAACGCGACGTCGGACCTGTGGGGCGAGAACTCGTCGTGCCTCGGCAACGGGTCGCTCGAGTGCGAGATGGCGCGCAACAACGCCACGGAGGGCGCCGAGCCGGTGCTGCCGCCCTTCGAGCTCTGGCAGACGGTGCTGATCGCCATCTGCCTGGCGTGCTGCATGATCATCACCGTGGGCGGGAACTGCCTGGTGCTGCTATCGTTCATCGTGGAGCGCGCGATCCGCCAGCCTTCCAACTACTTCATCGCCTCCCTCGCCATGACCGACGTCATCATCGGCTCCGTGTCGATGCCCCTGTACACCGTGTACGTCCTGATGGGCGAGTGGACGCTGGGCCCCATCCTGTGCGACCTGTGGCTCTCCGTCGACTACACGGTGTGCCTGGCGTCGCAGTACACGGTCCTACTCATCACCATCGACCGCTTCTGCTCCGTCAAGATCGCGGCCAAGTACCGCGGCTGGCGCACCCGCACGAAGGTGCTGGTGATGGTGGCCATGACGTGGATCATCCCGTCGCTGCTGTTCTTCATCAGCATCTTCGGCTGGGAGCACTTCGTGGGCTACCGCTCGCTGCAACCCAACGAGTGCGAGGTGCAGTTCCTGCGCGACCCCGTCTTCAACACGGCGCTCATCGTCACCTACTACTGGGTCACGCTCGTCGTGCTCTTCGTGCTCTACGCCGGCATCTACAAGACGGCCTACGACATGCAGAAGAAGTCGGAGGCCAAGCACCGCAAGATGCAGACGCTGGTGGCCCTCAGCGCCGGCGGCATGGCGGGCATGGCGGGCCGCACCGCCGGCCTGGGCATGAGCAAGACGCAGAGCACGCTGCTCAGCCAGGACAAGCCGCAGCCCGCCCCGCCGCCCGTCGCCAGCACGCAGCAGCAGGCTCCGCAGGGCGGCTCCGGCGTCAGCGACTCCTCCTCGAGTCAGAAGACCTCCTCCAAGACCACAGAAACCACCAGCTTCTCGGAGCGTCGCGGAGAGCCCACGGAGAAGTCGGAGCGCTCCAGCAGCCCCGCCTTCGACTCTGACGAGGAGAGCAGCCAGGTGCCCTCCGGGAGGCGGTCGGGGCTGCCCAACAGCGCCGTGCCGCGCCTCGAGCCCCCGCCGCAGCACCGCAAGACGCCGACGGCGGACACCCTGCCCAAGATCCCCGAGCAGAGCGTGCTGGACACGTCGACCACGCTGGAGGGCAGCTCCTCCTCCGACGCGGGCATCGGAGCTCTGGCCGTCACGCTCACCCGCTCGCTGCCCTTCGCGGCCCACCACCACCACCACCCGCAAGCGGCCAAGGCCACGGCGCCCACGCTGCCGGACGTCGCCCTGCACGAGGCGGGCCTGCAGGGCTCGGCGCTGCTGGACGTGACGCTAGGCGCGGCCACGGCGCCGCTGGCCAAGCGCATGTCGGGCGACTTCTCCAAGGAGGAGAAGGACGAGAACAGTGGCCACTCGGACGAGACGCTGAGCGTGCAGTCGGGCGGGGAGCCACAGCCGCAACCGCAGCCCAAGACGCAGCAGCCGCTGCACCCGACGTCGCTGCCGCTGAGACCGATCAACGCCGTGCCCATCCTGCCGCTGGCCGCCTCCACGCCCACGGACATGCTAGATGAGCGGGTGATCGCACCGCCCGCCATGTTCGCCGACGCCATGAGCGTGAGCAGCATCTGCACCACGCGGCCGCCGTCGTCGCTCAACTACGGTCCGATGGCCTACGACATCCTCACCGGCCTGGACACGGGCGACCTGCGCTTCATGGACGAGTCGTCGATCATCCTGCCGTCGCCCGTGGTGGAGGACCCGCCCTCGTCCGTGTGGGCGGCCACCCTGCACAGCCCCGGCTCGCCCACGGGCCGCTCGCTCACCTCCACGCTCACCACGCCGCACAGCATCCACCGCAAGATGAGCCGCATGCAGTCGCGCTCCGACGAGGAGATGAGCATCGAGGAGGCGGACGAGTCGGTCGACGCGGACGACGAGGCCGGCGACAGGGACGAGGACGACGAGGACGAGGAGGCGTCCGAGCACTCCACCAACGTGCTCGTCACCTCCATCATCCACGCCTGCGCCGCCGTCACCAACCTGGCGGGCTCCGAGAAGATTCCCAGCCCCGTCAGCCCGAAGGAGGAGACGGCGACCGCCGCCGCCGCAAGCCCCAGCGCCCACAACAGCATAGCGACGGCGCCCAACAGCACCGCCGCGCCCAGCCAGCCGCCGCCGGTCAAGCCGAGAGCCAGCCCGACGGGAGCAGCGGCAACGGCGCCAGCGCCCGGAGCAGGCAGCGCGAACAGCAACGCGGCGGCGGCGGCGACGGAGGCCGCGGCGCGGCCGAGCGTCTCGAGCGCGGGCCCCGCCAACCAGCTGATCGCGACCCACAACGTCAACTCGAACAAGACCGTGACGAGCGTGGCGCGGACCGAAGCCTCGTCGCTGATCGAGAAGGACCGCGGGACGTCGGTGGCGTCGGAGGCGCAGAGCTCCATCAAGGGGTCGTCCCTGAAGGGCTCGCGCAAGGGCATCGTCAAGTCCATCCGGAGCCTGAAGAAGAAGAAGAAGAAGGCCGAGGGCGAGAAGCGGCACCGCTCCAAGTCCGAGAACCGAGCCAACAAAGCGCTGAGAACGATCTCCATCATCCTGGGCGCCTTCGTGGCCTGCTGGACGCCCTACCACATCCTGGCCATCGCCGAGAGCTTCTGCCAGTGCACCAACACCCACGTGTACATGTTCGCCTACTTCCTGTGCTACGCCAACAGCCCTATCAACCCCTTGTGCTACGCCCTGGCCAACCAGCAGTTCAAGAAGACTTTCATGCGAATTCTCAAAGGCGATTTGCACATAACGTAACGCAGCCGACCGGTAGACTGTGCCGTTGATATTTACTCAATTATCTGTGATATCTGTAGAGAGAGATCATATTCCAGTGCTCAGTGCGGGATGTACAGCCATCGGTACAAGTGTACATTACCTCAGGCGTAGCGTTAACACGGAACAAAATATGCACTTCATCTCAAATACAGTATTCATGTCCGTGACAGTGATGTGTGCGTACTGAAGAGCAGTGTGTACATACCCAAGTGCAGTGTATACATATACATGCATTTC